AACACTTCTGGTGGCATCCATCCCAATCTTGGTATGCATTTCTGCTGTTTAATAAATTAATATGTCCCTGAGCTATTTAACATATCTCAGATCGGCGCAGAGACCCACGGACATGTAGGCGCCGACTTGGCTGCTCTTTGCTCAGAAGCAGCTCTGCAAGCCATCCGCAAGAAGTTGACCCTCATTGACCTGGATGACGAGTCCATCGATGCTGACCTTCTCAACTCACTGGCTGTCACCATGGATGACTTCCAAGTACACACACACACACACACACACACACACACACACACACACACACACACACACACACACACACAGTACATACTGTATTAGTCCCTCAAAGAAACACTCTCTCCTTTCCTCCCTCAGTGGGCGCTGAGTCAGAGCAACCCATCAGCTCTGAGGGAGACCGTTGCAGAGGTGCCTCAGGTGACCTGGCAGGACATCGGAGGACTGGATGAGGTCAAGAGAGAACTGCAAGAGCTCGTCCAGGTGGAAGAAACATTCACACAATCATACCTGCACATACGTCTGCACATACGTCTGCACATACCTGCAAACACAAGCTCCCATCAGCAATCCATCTATCTTCTTCATGTCGCTCTTTCTCAGTACCCTGTCGAGTATCCGGACAAGTTCTTGAAGTTTGGTATGACTCCATCTCGTGGAGTGCTGTTCTACGGCCCTCCAGGCTGTGGGAAAACCCTACTGGCTAAAGCCATCGCCAACGAGTGCCAGGCAAACTTTATCTCCATCAAAGGACCCGAGATGCTCACCATGTGGTTTGGAGAATCGGAGGCCAATGTCAGAGACGTGTTTGATAAGGTGAGAGAAAGAAAAACTAATAAATCATGTCAGGACAGACATTTGTATAACCTTTGTTTCACACTGTAACCTTGCTGACCTCCTGGCTTCGTCTCTGCCTTCAGGCCAGACAGGCAGCCCCCTGCATCTTGTTTTTTGACGAGTTAGACTCCATCGCCAAATCCAGAGGGGGCGGAGCTGGGGATGCAGGTGGTGCAGCTGACAGAGTCATCAACCAGATACTCACAGAGATGGATGGCATGTCCGACAAAAAGAACGTTTTCATTATTGGTGCCACGAACAGGTGCAGATATGAGAATTTGTATTATGATTGTGTTTTGAGAAGTCAGTAGGCTGGAAGTCAAGATTGATTGTTCTCTCTGGTCATCTCACTTTTTTTACTCCAGACCAGACATCATAGACGCCGCCATCCTGCGGCCGGGTCGTTTAGATCAGCTCATCTACATCCCACTGCCAGACAAACCATCCCGTACAGCAATCCTAAACGCCAACCTACGCAAGTCCCCTATCGCACGAGTCAGTGATGCACACACATATAGATATCCATTTCTTTTTACAGTGTCTTCCTCATGTACATGGGAGAGAACAAAACATCAAAAGTTGGTCTGTTCCTTTATATACTGTAGATAACAGTTGTAAAATGTATAACAAGTGGTCATTGTGAGGAATGTTTGAAATCTGTCGTCTCATTAACATGCTAGAGGAAGTCTTATGCTGTAGTTGATCAAACTACTACATATACTGTTGGTTAATTTAAACTCTGACAGCGCATAGCTACAAATGTAGTAAAAACATGGAATCTCACTAACTAAATACTGAAGTAAAAGTCAAGTGCTTTTACCTAAAAACTATTACATGTTTGGTTACTAGGGTAACCCCAGTTCTCAGAGAATGACACTTACCAAATAATGTAAATTTAACAACCTCAGCGTCTCCCTCTTTCTCTTTCCTTTGCACCTCCTTCTTGTAGGATGTGGACCTGGAATATCTGTCTGGCATCACAGAGGGTTTCTCCGGAGCTGACCTGACAGAGATCTGCCAGCGGGCTTGCAAGCTTGCCATCCGTGAGGCCATCGAGGCCGAGATCAAGGCTGAGCGTCAGAGGCAGAACAGACCAGGCATCCCCATGGTCAGACTGCTGCACTGCATTGTTGCTTATTTACAGAATACTCTACTGTGATAAACAGGAAACTGATTATTGGGTCTCTCTGGCTGTATTCGAAACCACCTGCTATACTAGCAGTGCATACTGACATGGGCAAATTGTAACATGTAGTATGCAGTGTGCAAACAAAAGCAAAATCTGCGGTATGCCAAAAATACTCATATGTCTTACTGATTTGGAACCAGTTTACCTCGACTACTGTGTCCCACAATGCAAATCTCTTTAAAGGAACTGTTGGTTTGCCTTTAGCCGTACTATTGTTTATTTCCACTTTCCAAAACCAGAAACTGGCTAAGCCTGGTCTAGCATACTGAGAAATAAATCCATATAACGGCTTTGCCTACTACTATGAAAAGCAGTACTTTCATCTGTAGTATAGTAGGTGGTTCCAAATATAGCCTGTGACTTTTTCCTCTCCACACACACACGCACGCACACACATACACGCACGCGCGCACACACACACACACACACACACACACACACACACACACACACACACACACACACACACACACACACACACACACAAACTGTGCCACTCCTCAAAGCAGTATCAGGCTGTATGTGCTCGGTACAGAAAGAGACTGTGGAAGATTAATAAGTTCCCTAAAGGGCGGCTGTGTGTTTTGTAGCTTTCAGCCTTTGGACTGGGAACACACACAAACACACACACACACACACACACACACACATACACACACACACAGTCCTCATAATGTTTTTCTCTGCAGGATGAGGACTTTGATCCAGTCCCAGAGATCAGGAAGGACCACTTTGAAGAAGCGATGCGATTTGCTCGTCGCTCTGTCAGTGACAACGACATCCGCAAATATGAAATGTTTGCCCAAACTCTGCAGCAGAGCCGAGGTTTTGGAAACTTTAGGTACACATAATCCAAGTACATCATACAGTATGTGTCACTACAGACAATATAGTCTTCATCTCTTCAAGACACATTAAAGGCTCATTGTTTTTTGTTCTCCACCTAGGTTCCCTTCTGCTACTGGTGCCAGGTCTGGAGGTCAGGGGTCAGACTCTGGGTCAGGCAGGCCAAGCCAGTACAGAGAGGAAAGCAATGATGATCTCTATCAGTGACAAAAACTTCAGCAGCTGCATAAAGTTCCACTACTATGCTTGGCTTCCTTGGAGGAAAGGAAACAGAAGAATATTGGGAGTGGAAAAGACAATATATAAAGGGAAACATAACAACAATAATAGTAACAATAATTATAAGAAATCTTGACTTTTAAAAACACAGGGGAATAACATCAGATTACAAATAAAAATAAAAATATTATAATATTAATCATATTATAATATTTTGTTTCAATACACTAAGACAGAGCAACAAATAAATACAATAATAACATCAAAGCTTTGGGTTTTCACACACTTTTTGCACTATGAAAATTATGTAAGTTGTGTGTATGTGTGAGTGTAAAATGTGATAAATAAATTTATTTGTACGCCTCTATGATCCCTCTGACAAGGTTTATCTTGGAAAAATACTGAATGTTTTTGTGTTGTTAAGTTGTAAATGAAACTGGTTTCTGGTCGTCCTGGGAGCTCACCTGGTAGAGCTTGTGCCCTGTGTACTGGCATGTTTTTATTTATTTGTAAATAATACTGGTTTCTATTTGATTCAGTTTCAGGGGTTCTGGTGTTGTACATACAGGCTCACTGTGATGACTTACTGGGACTTACTAAAGCCGCCAGTAATGTTATTAGTAACAATCTGACAGAGAGCCACAAGATTGTTCCCCATGAATCACACAAAATATGTTTACCCACATACCCCTTGTTGTATCTTGCAAACAGTCTAAGTTTTATTTGCTAAAGGTTTAAGGTACAGATAAACCCCAAAACAATGAATCTAAAATGACTTTTCAGGCCCTCAAACCATCAAGGAGAGGAATATAAAAGCAAATGTCCAGGGTTCTTTTTGTTATCTAACGTAAGATAAGATAAGATAAGGTATTTCTTTATTGATCACCCGTAGGAGAAAAAGAAAGAAAGGTGGAAAATTTTCACTTTTTTTAACCTTATATATTACTAATATATATATTTTTCCCTCCCTAACTGTTTGGTCTATCTTCCAGGACCAGTGTTTATGAGACTGCATGTGTCCTTGACAGTAGCTGTCTCACTTTACTTGTCTATGGCTACCTAACTTGCTATAATGGTAAAGAAAAGACTGCCGTTTATCTTCAATGAGTCTGAGGCTTTAATCGTGTCAGTCAGTGGAAACTCCTCATATTTAATTCAAAACTGATTGTCTTGGCAGTTTATACATACCCTTCAATACATGAAATTTAAAGCATTATCATTCGGTTGGAGTAGCCTAAACATAATATTTTGGTGTTCATGTTGTTTAATTTAGGGTAGGGTCTGCGCCAGCCTAAATTAAATTAGGATTCCTAATTTAGGAAATGATTCACTGGGACTGCTCTGTAATAGCTAAATTCCTATAATAGAGATTCTTTTTTTTCCCCAAATTCAGTTAGGAAACATGTTTTTGTGATGCCATGAATCTTAAATGTCATAAGCTTCTGTAATGAGATCCCTGGTGCTGTTCCCCTCTTGGTAATGCAGCCATGCTAGAAAACAATGAATACTGAGCTAAACTGTAATGTGTGTATGGTTTACATCACTAAATATTTACAACTGAAACAGTACTATTCTCATTACCAATATTCATAAATCTTAAATTATTGGAAACAGCACACGACACCTGCCAGCAGAATCTTTGTTATTTGGGCGGAAGGACGGTGTTTCTATAAAGACAGGGGTTTTCTATTGATATGACAGATAACCAGGAACAGGTGATAGGGATAAAGCACAGAGGATAAAGTACAAGTTTGGGTGTGTGTGTGTGTGTGGTTTTTGTCTTTTTTGTTGTTTTGTGTAGTTTGGTTGTGATTCACACTCCAGAGCAGAAGGTGGCGGTAATAAGCAGGGTGCCAACCGCCGTAAAAGAAGCAGGAGAAGAAGAAGTTGCTGCGCTGTTTATTTCCGGTGAAGGGCGGAAGCAGAAACAGGGGGCTTGTGGAGGTGACCGAATGGCAGACAGTAGAGTCATTTTGGAAATATATTAGATTAACGCGCAGCAGAAGCAAAGTAAACACAGATATTTGAGGTAACGGTGCATTAAAATCGTCGGTGCCATGGGAGCTCACCTGGTCAGACGGTATGTCACCGAGACAGAAACCGAACCGGACCCATCGAGGAAGTATGAGTTCGACCCCGACTTTGGATTTCCAGAAAGGAAAGAGAGAGGTCTGTCCGCAGTTAGCAGCTCAGAGAGCCCGAATACTGCATGCCACAGTCTGTTTATAAGCATCCTAATTGAAATCGATATCCTTATCGTTAAGCGTTAGCCTGAATTAGCCTGTTGCTATGGCAGTTCATACGGTGGTTAGCTCAGCAGCTAACTGGTGTCTGAGGAGTGAAGTGTGCAGTGATCCTGTGCCCTGTGCTGGTCTGTGGCCAACTAGTTATAACTTTATGTATTAACTTTTATAAGAAACTATTCCAAAAGGTTGTAAACATTACCCATAGACATGTTACATTACAGTATCAGTGGAAACACACTCACATGCTCGTATATGTCTGCTGGAGTTTCATTTCTGACCAGCAAAGAGAGATTGTGACAGTGACATTATTTTGTAATGCAACCTTTGAGTGAACGGTCATATCAGAATACAGAGGACTTTCGTCACTCTAATGCAATATGCATTAGTGGAGGGAAACACAAGCAAACTTTGACGAGTCAATTGTAACAAGTCAGTGTTTTGCTCTGAGAAGTGACAGCCATTGTCCACAGAAAGCCATTATTAGAAATGTGTCCTTGTTGGCTCATGAATTCACTGCCTTCCCTCACACATCAACTTAATTCAGATTTATTTCTGTTTCTGTGTATGAGTGCTAAGGCCTGCAGTGTTAATGTAGACTGTGGTGAGATTTTTTTAGATTTGCACATTAATCTGATTAATAACTTTAGCTTGAGATACATGTACTGTATCATAAAGTCAGTGTCAGTGGACCCCACTTCAGTAAGGTCCCCTTTTCAAAACAAGGAATGAACCATTTACAGTCTCGCTTGAGTTTGTTACGTGGAACGGCATTTGAGTGAGTTAGTTAATGCAATCTAAATGGCAATGTGCCATGATTGATAATCTCTAATAGGGTGCAATATGACAGGTTTTTGTACAGCAGAGTAACATCCTCCTGAAAGATGACTTTAACCATTTATATCCCCTTTCCAGAGATGGTAGCAACCCAGGAGCAGATGAACCTGGCCCAGCTGCCTTTAGAGCAGCGAGACTATTGTGCCCATCACCTCCTGAAACTCATGAAGTGCAAGAGGGACAACTGGCCCAACTTCCTGGGCTGCAAGCATGAGAAACACGACTGGGACTACTGCCAACACCAGGAGTAAGTGTTAAAGTTTCCAAAGCCATTTGAAAGGTTTTCAGGACACTCACTCGCTGTCACTGTATGTAAGGCCGTTATGTGTAGAGGGGAAACTGACGCTTCATGCAGTTGCTGATTGGTTCACATTAGGGATATGTCCTAATCAGATCTCAACGATCAGTATTGGCGCCAATCAATACATCTTTTAACTAATCGGTGTTGGCTATGTTGAGCTTTATTGATTTGATCTTTTGTTTTACACCAGCTGTTTTTACTAGTTTTCATGCACGGTGCAGCCGTTGTCAACTCTCTCGCTGTGTCTTTACTCCACTCTGAGCTCTGTGTGTGTGTGAGAGCAGGGGCTGCCTGTGCTCGGGGGAGACAACAGTAGAGATCCAACACAACCACATTCAACACGCCACTGCAAGTGCATCAAAAGGCCCGTGAACAAAAAGCCAATAGGAGAAATTAATTACACACATTGCTCAGTTACAGAATTATAAATCATTTACAGGACTTCTCATCCACATTGGTTTAAAAAGATCTTCAAGTTTATGTTAATCTTTTTGGAAAAGCTCCACAAAAACTCAAGTTTCCAAATAACATTATGTCTCAAAGATTAAACAGCTGTTAAACGTACTTAAGTACATTTTAGATCCTCATTTGCAAGATTTAACAATTAAGCTTTTATCCTGTTAAAATATATCCTCGTCATTAACAATGTACGCCATGTAATTCTGTCTCCAGCTACGTGATGCGTATGAAGGAGTATGAGAGAGAGAGGAGGCTCCAGCTGAGGAAGAAGAGAATCGAGGCTCAGGCTACAGCTGCATGATCAGTGGATCCTCTGATACTTCTTCTCTGTATATATGTGCTGCTGTTCACAATAAACAATATTGTTTAAGCTCTACACCCCGCAGTCTTATTCATATCCACACATACAGTAATCCTCTGGAATACATCACCAAAAACATTAGTGTGATCTTTAGTTGACGGCGAGGTTTTATATTCATTATCTGAGCACCAAGTGATTCATTGTTATATTTGTATATTTTGGCTGAAATCTCCGTTCCATGGTCCAGGACAGCTCTATCCATATAGACAAACTATTTCCTGCTCCAGATTTTATCCATGGTCTATTTTACATATTCAGTATTTGTATGAGTCTGAAATAGTGCTTGTACTTGCAGGTGTGGCCTATCTGACAAACAGCCACAATTGTAGCCAAATCTAGATGACAAATGTACATTTCAACCATGACTGATCCTGCATTACTTGACCGTTTTCCCTATTGGTGATGCTGCATCAATATGATACATTTAAATGACCACAAGTCCCCTTCACTTTAAACTCTACACAGTACACCCAGTGTACGAAGCTCCAGTATTCTTGGACAGGAGTGGTGGTGTAGGTACAAATATACATAGTGACACATGTAACACATAACAAGGAAACAACATTTTTGTTTACCTTTTTTTAATAAATTACTTCAGAAGTCAACAAAATTAAATGCTGTCATGATTTCAAATTTAGATTATTGGATATCAAAACTGAAGAATTTAAGTAACACAGACTCTGCCCCAAAACAACTTTAAAATTACGTAAGCGTAGTAAGACATCTTAATATCTTTTACTCACAGTACTTCATTCAGTATGCACTGGGTTGTTTGAAGGCGAAGACTGCTCTGGGAACTCAAACACTCATAAGTCAATTAATCAGAATGGGTTTGTTTGTGGGAAATAAAAACAACTTCAGCAAGTGTAGTGTTACACGTGTTACATTATCACTCAACATGGCAGGGACTGCAGACAGGAAGGGAAAGAGACAATTTGGTTGGTTAAGCTCCAGTGTACATTTTGCAGGATGGAAAAAGGGTCACCCTCTCTGTTAGCGCTGGGGGGAGGAGACGTAGGGGTGTATTTGACTCCTACAATGGGTGAGGGACTGGTCAAGCCCTCTAAAGGACGAAGGGCAGGATGGGTGAGCGGAGCGGAGGGTAGTCGCGGAACTCCTTCAGGTAGCTGCGGTGCTTCCCTTTGGCCCACACAGTCATCTGGATGAAACCCACCAAGGTGAAGAAGGCCACCGGCAGGCACTGCGTCATCAGAGTGAAGCCGAGCCAGGAACCCAGCTGAGAGGAGGAGGAGGAGGAGGAGGAGGAGGAGGAGGAGGAGGAGGGATGTTATACACAGAGTAAAACCACAAGAGGGCAGCAGCTGTAGGTTTAATTAATATAACTTTCAGTGTACAATGATGCAATACAAATAGCTAGACATGAGATAGTGTAACCAGATGGACTCATCTCCCAAGGGGTTAAAACTTCCAGCTGTGCAATAAATATCAAGTATTCATTCATGTGGGGAAAACTTAGCCATCACTTGTTGAATGAAAGATGTTACCTCATAGGTGTAGTTGGGGCAGGAGACCAGCAGGAAGATCCAGGTGAAGGGGTTCTTGGTTGGATAGGGAATCTTCCTTGTCTTAGAGCCTGGATGAAGGCAGCAAAAGAAAGGGAATGTCAGAGAACATCTGCTTTTTAAAAAAACGTATCATTTCATCCTGTAAAACAAAATGTGACGCGTGCATATGTAAGCATCAACTAAAGGAATTCAACCCAAAAAATTCAAAAACAATCTCATGACATTCACCTGTCAATCAATCTTCAACTTTTAGTGACAGAGCGAAGATTCATTCACAAATCCCTCCCTAGCTGCCTGTTTTTACAGGAAATGCCTAAATATTCGGAAGCAAATAGCACGGATTTCTGTTTCACCTGGACTTTGTGTGGATGTCTGTGGATGTGTGTGAGTGTCAGATGTACAGGTGTTACAGGTGTGTGTACCTGGTGGACGGAGGTTCCGAAGAGCAACATGGATGGAAAAGTTGCCGATCTGACAGAACTACGAAAGAAAACAGTCACACAAGTGATTTAATACAGAGTGTGTAAAGCAAAAGATAATGAAAACAAAACTCATATTGTACACTTACAAGAATGACAAAGAAACTAAAACTAATGGACAAAAATACTACTTAAATGATGTTTGTTTATATTCATCGGTCAAACTAAATTAATTACAGAACAAAAGTGTCGAGGATAGAAAGATTCTCACCAAGAATACAATGAGGGCCAGTCGGATTTGTTGCTCCCCGTAGACTGCAACAAGACACAGTTAACATGAGTACTGATGAAAAGGAGTTACAATAGGTGTACGAGTGTTGAGTGTATGGATGTGTAGGTGCATGCATGCTTACTGGGCGGTGTGTACAGCGGGTGGTTGATGTAATACGCCATCCACGCTGCAAAGCCCCAGTAGTAGGTACAGTTCTGGAAAGGAGAATGTGACAGGAACATTGTCAATGAGACTCCGGTGTGGTGGTAATGTAAGGCGAGATATGACACAGTGTTGGGGAATGCATCTCACTTTAAAGATGTTGCGTAACGGCATTGTTCCATGAGAGAAGCGATGGACGAACAGCGTCTCCAGCAGCCTCTTAACGTAGTGGAAAGAGTGACACATACAGGCGAGACTGCCAAAAAGCACAAACACAAAAAGAGGATTGCAGTTACATGGCATGGTATGGTATAACATCTTGACATGTTTAATATATGACATGTTCATATGGATATAAATGACAAAGTTTACTCTATCAAATGCTTCTTCGCATCAATGCATCATCAGTATCTAATCTGTATTGGTTGAAAGCTGCATTAAGTTAGATAGTTTGGTCAATAAATGCCCTCCTTTAATAAAACCGGTCTAGTTGGGATGCATCAAAAATTTAATAACTGTTTCGAACCTGGTAACCAGAGCCATGCTATTAATTTAACATCTGCTGATTAGTGACGATGGGGGGCAATGATAACTAGATTGGTCAGCGATCTCCACTAGGTTTGAACAATAGGATGATAATAGCTGTGTTAATGCTACGTGAGAGTGAACACTACTTTAATCTTATTCAACAGTGGTGATGTGACTGACCAGAAGGGCTTAAAGAACTCTGCAGGAAAGCCAACCAAGTTCAAGAGCCTACACAGACACATACATGAGTGGTATTGATCTTCTCATCTAACTCTCTGCAAGAAAGCAAACAAGCGTATTTCACATAATGTCAAACTATTCCCTTAAAGTTGAGACACGCTCAACTTAAAGACGACACATGTGCCTGCTGTGACCAACCCGTTGGGGGACAAGAAGGCTCCACCTAACTATTTGTGAAGACGAGTTAGAGACACTCACTGTACGACCCAGTGTTTACTGGTGGTAAAGTCATATTTGGGTGCGTAGATGAAGGGTACCCTGAAGTAGAACATCAGATAGATGACCAGAGGGCCGGTATACTCTGTCAGAAAGACCTGAAAGAAAAGATAGTAGGACAGGATAAGTCAGAGCGTTGGAGACAAACACCGGGCACATGCAAGTATTCACCTCGGTTTGCTCTGTGTTGTACTCACTGTGACCCAGCTGATCTGGGCTCCCAGGTCTCTGAAGTAGAAGGTTGCCGTGGTTCCCACAGGGAGATGCTGCAGTACATCCTCATCCTTCAGAGACTTTCCCTCTGAGACACATACATTCACTTAATGAGTAAATTATGAGTAGATTGTAGAGAGAAGCAGTCCTACATTCACTTCAAGTACACTGGTAGATCACACTTTAGCTGACTTACTGGGGTCGAGGCGAATGGACTGTCTGGCTGGGTACCACTGAGGATCTGAAACAGACAGATAAATACTTCACAAACATCTTAAGATGGCGCAGAAAGTGTGTGGCTCAAAGATTTGTTTGATCTTAAATCTGATTTATGAGGCTTTAGTCGCCTGCAGAGAGATGGCACTCACGGCTCTTGTGGAACATAGACTTGATCTCCCCGATAGTGGCATTTGGCTCGACCTACAAATAACACCATAATAAATAAATGGTTGGACATGTGTACACACACGCGCACACACACAAAGGAACATATAATAATCCTGTTTTACATTCATGATGGTGATTAGTGGTAAATTTAGCTCTGGCTGTGCCCACACAGCCCATGGATGTGGGGTATTCAACAGCTGGTATTAGGATTTCAAAGACCACAAATACACACACACACGCACGCACACACGCACACACGCACACACGCACGCAGCCAAAGTACACGACCTTGTGCCAGGCTGCCAGCTATGGCCCAACTACCCCAAATATAAACACAATGACAGCAAAACAGAAACATGAAGAGCACACAGGCAGTCTGGACACACACAGTTGTTACAGGCAGTTGATTTAAAATCCTCTCCACAATCCCATAAATTAAATAGTTTGATAGATTGAATAGTTTTATCTGTTGACTCGAGGCAGCTTTAGGGCTGTGACAGTAACTGCACGACCACAGTTTGTTATAGGAGTGCCTACAGTTTGTGATATGAATAAACAATGAACACAATAATCATTGCTTAGTTATCATCATTGATATCTTCCATCCTATGTTCAATGGCTTCAGCTTGCGTGGGTGGGGGGTGGTCCATTAAACTTGAGGGATTTCTTATTAATTAAGCTATTCTGCTCATTATTTTGGGTGTGTGCTGCCCAAATAGTATAGAATGTGTGCCGCCTCATAAATTATAAAGCGCTCCAAGTACCACCATTATGACCAACGTTAAACTACAGTAGCGTAGTGGATGTCTGGATGGCTATGATAAGGTCGAGGGATCTTTACGAGATTCAGGGTTAATGCTATCAGTTAAATTCATTCAGTCACCGTGAGCCACAGTATATAAAAAAATATTCCAATGAGCTCAATATAGTGAAGTATACAGACACACATCCCTGAGTTGAGGTACTGGAACTGGTATTGGGAAAGAAAAGTTCAGTTGGTGCATCCCTAATTAGGTCAAGTTACTGCAGCACTCTGCCTGAAAAAAAAATATA